TCCTGGATCCATCACGTGCTGGCAGTGTGCGAGTGGCTTTCTCTCTCTCAGCCTCAGTTTTCAGTCTCTCCAGACTGACTCTGGAATGAGAACTGATTGTCCAGTGTTCATAGCCGTGAGGCCTGTGGTCTTTCAACAGGGGCCTCAGAGTCCTAAGGAATCCTAGTTTAGGGGACCCCTGGTGGCTAGTCTGGAGGGAATTGTGCAGTCTGAATGCACCAGGGGCTTCTCCAGAGAAAAGGGCCCCCTCCTCCTTAAGAAGACTTACAGCTTCTGAAACCCAATGGAAGGTCAGCTGTGAGTTGGTTCTGACTTGATGGCAGAGAGAGGTTTTGAGGACGTTTCAACTGAAGTCAGACAGGGTAAGATCATCCTTGAAGGGAAGTTCAAGGTGGTGGTTACTATGGGTTGTCAAGACTCATAGTGACCCTATGAACAATCTCTCTCAGCCCTTGCCCAATTTTGAGTCAATCTCACCATCCCTGACCCACCTGCCCCCATTACCACAGTCACTGTGATGATGAGACTCATCTCATCCATGGTCTTCCTTTCCTGCACTGTCCCTCCACCCTTCGGAGCATGATGTCCTTCTCCTAGGACTGGTCCCTTCTGGCCACATGCCCAAAGTATATGAGAGGGAGTTTCAAATTCCTTACCTCCAAGGAGCAACCTGGTTTTATCCTCTCCAGGGCAGACCTGTTTGTTTTCTTGGCCGTCCATGGTATGTTCAGTACTCTTCTCCAGCACCACAACTCAAAGGCATTGATTCTTCTGTCATCCTTAGTCACTGCCCAGGTCTCAGATGCATAGCAAGCAACTGAGAAGACCATAGCCTGGATCAGGCACACCTTGGTCTCTAGACTAGCATCACTGCTCCTCCTTATTCTCCTTCCTTGAAGTTTGTGCCTGGCAGCATGGGTCCCAGCACCATCCTTTACTTCCCACAAGTCCCAGCACTATCTGTGAACTTGAGGGGTCCATCTCACCTAACTGGGCAGAACTTTGAGGAGACACTGGACCTTTATCCTACTGTTGACCATCCAGAGACTTCAGAAGCCCAATCTGCAGGATCAATTCCAGCAGCCTGGCCTCTGGGGACTCAAATTGGCTCAGGCCCAGAGGAGAACCCGCTTTTCCAACGTATTCCCATTTCTCTCCTTCAGGTACACTGTAGAATGCCATTTCTACACACCCCTCCTCTTACCTGAGGCATGGCCACAAATCTTGCATTGGTTGGCGAAATGAGTGGCTGTGGCATTTCCAGGTGGCTGTACTAACGGCCCTGCATGTGAACCCTGCTCTCTTCCCCGGCTCCCGTGATTCCCATGCTGACGTCAGAGCAGCCTGGCACGTGGAGTCACTGCAGGGACAATGGCTGCCCTGGGTCTCTGCCTGCAAATACTGAAGTGGTTTGTTACTACAGATTAGCCATGGCTCGAGGGAGCTCTTTGATCTGGGGGAGGCCGACGGGCACCCCTAAACCGGGAAAGCAAGCCCATCTTGTCCCCACAGGGCAGTGCTGATCTACGTGAGCTTCAGGATGTGAGGCCTTCATGAGGTGTTTGGCGTCAAAGACCAAAGCTCTGGTTACACTCACGTCGACCATGGTGCTCGCTGCCTGCAGCCCACAGCCACCCCTTAACATCCACCTACACTGTCCTGCAAATTCTGGAAGCTTGGGATGTTGTGAGAATGAGAGAATCGGGATGCGGGGGTAGGGCTGGAAGTGAAAGGCAAGGCAGAGATGCAGGGCACAAACTAAGAGGCACTGAGAGAAGTGGACAGAGATGCGGGGGCACCGCCGGGGGTGGAGGAGCAGTCCTGCAGGTCTGTCAGCGCGCCTGGTCTGTGGGGAGATCTGAGTGAGCACCCAGTGCTGTTCCTTTCAGTGAGAGTTGGGACGGTGCAGGTGCTTGTGTCTGTTGGCCCCTACTGTCCTCCCTGACCTTTGAGACTCTGAGGGAACAAGGACCCACCTGCTCATCTCAGCCTCCCCGACGCAGGGCCTGTGACCTGGAGGCTGGTCCTTCCTGCCCGGCCCCCTATGGCTTCAAACCTGGTGCTTGTGCAAAGCCACTCCTGCAGGATTGAGACCTAGCACCTCTGCTCAGTTCCCCAAGCCCAGTTCAGCCACTAGGGAGGAAGCCAGCACCTGGGATGCTCCCGGCTGGCAGACGTGCAGGCTGCAGACTCAGCTGTAAGCTCAGCTCGGGCAGCCGACAGAGAAGGCAAACAGGCAAAGCGTAAAGAAGAGTCAGGGCCAAGGGACAGCAGTGGTACTGATTTTATTCCCTTCACTTGCTCGCTCACTCACCCATGGTCCTCACACACTCTGGGCTGTGGGGGGCACCACTGAGCCCAGTATGAGGTGTACTATGGGAGTGCAGGTGACCCCTGCTCAACTGTGAGAGGGGGTCTGAGGCCCACCTTGTCTCTCCAACCACTGACTCCAGCTGGCCATGGAGACCACCCAGCTGGTCTCTACTGACGCCAGCCCAATAGCCCGGGGAAGTCCTGTGATGCCCCATCCCCTCACTCCAACATCCAGATGCTTGTTAATTCTGTTTTTAAAACTTAAAAAAAAAAAAAGAAATATAAAGGCTGGTAGAACAAGAATCCCTATTCACACTGGCACCACGGAGGTTCCATTATTGCTGCAGACCCCATCTACGCTGCCCAAGGTGGAGGACGAGTTTAGCACCAGGGACCTAGGGCTCTTGTCCCCATTGGGAAGGGGGCCTCCCAGGAGAAAGGCTGGCAGTGCCACCTATGGCTACCATGCCCTACCTTTCTTGGTGCCCAGCCTGTTGGGGGCCCTCTCCTGAGCCCGAGGGCAAGAGCTTGAGAAGAAATCCACCTGGAACCTGCTTTCACCACCAGCTCCACCCACACCTATCCGTACCAGTAGGGTGTGGCCTCACCAACAAGATGCCCACGCTGGCCCCAGGTCCACTTAGACAGCAACTCAATGCCAGTGATGGGGGGCTGGGAAGCCAGGGGGCCAGGCCAACTGCTCACTGGGGAGGGGGAATATTTTTTTTTTTTTGGAAAAGCATGATCCAGCTATGGAAAGCTGCCAGGCACTGGGACCAGAGGTTAGAAAGAAGCAGGGAGTCAGAGAAAGGGGGGAATAGGGACCCTGAGGACGTCATGGAAGCCCAGAGATCAAGGGTTGGGGAGGGGGGGAAGCTGGGAGATGAGGCCTGGCCTCAGGAGGCTGGGACGTCAGCCCTGGGCAGTGCTGTGGATGGAGCTGGTCAGAAGGTGACTTCTCTTGGAGCTTCCGGCTTCCCCTCTACAGAGGAGGCAGGGCCTGAGAGGGAGGTCTGTGGGCTCTGACTCCTACAGTCCCAGCTACAGCCTCCAACTCAGCTTTCCCAGGGCAAAGCCTCAGCTCAGGGAAGCCCATGGCACAGGAACTTCCGAGCAGAGGCAGGAGAACAGGGTGGCATGGGATAGATTACAAACCCTCAAATCACTCAGGCGCCTGGGGCCTGCCCACATCTGTACAGGATAAAGTGCTTCGTTTATTGATGATTAAGATGTCCCCAGCTCCCTACCCCAGGTGCCACCACCGCAGGCCTCACAAGGAAGCCAGGAGGGGCTCTGTCCCTTCAGCTCTGGGGTTGGCAGGGCCCAGAGCCCCTCGTTACCATCCTCCAGCAGCCCTCTTGGGCTCAGGCCTCTTCCAACTGAAGCCACACTGGGCAAGTGGTGGAGTGGCTGGGTAGTAGGAGTTTAAGGTGCAAAGAGTATAACAAAACCATATAAACACAATGGGGAAAAGAGCTTAACTAGGAAACGTGTAGCTTATGGAACCTTCCTCCCCACTTTAAAGGGAGGAATAAAGACGTTAAATGACAACAACAACAACAACAATAAAAAAGGTGTCTTATTAGTGCCCAGCCTCATGGGGGCAAGCAGTGGGTGTAGGCTGGGGGGTCCCTTGACAACCCTAAGGGCCACCCCAAGGGCCTGAATGTGTAGGCTCCTGTCACTACTAGGCCCAGCAGGGACAAGGACGCTGGAGGTCCACCAGGAGTGGCTTGTGCACCAGGCCTAGGGCGAGGATGAGGCCCAGGCTGGCCTCTGGGGACAGAGACAGACAGACAAGTCTCCTGGTGTGGGGGGTATAGCCAGGTGGCTGTGAGGGGCACGCTGCCCTGTGAACAGCAGCACTGCTCCTGCCCCACGGATAGCACCTTGAAACCCGAAAGTACTCGAGAAGCCCACTCCTAGGGCCTGCCCCAAAGGACCCACCCACTTGAGGGGTCCCTGGGTGGCAGCCTGACTGCCCATTGCACCCAGTAGTGGCTTCTGGGATGCCTCTCCACTCCAGGGCTTGGGGCCCTCAGTACAGCCTGGCACAGGCCCGGGAGGAGAGCAAGTCCCTGGGGTCCAGCCCCTGCCTGCCCCATTCCACATGTGTGCCAGGCTGGGTCTTTGTGCCTCATGATCCCCCACCCCTACAGCTGTCCAGTCTCCAGTCCCTGCCTCAGTGTGGAAGCCCTCTCAGACTGGCCCACACCCACTCCAAGGGGTCCGGCACCTCCAGCGTCTCCCCAAGGCCCCCAGCATGTAAGGCCAAGTTGTGGGGCACAGGGGAGATGAGGAGACACCCCTGAAGCTGCCCAGGCTCAGCCTGGACAACCCTTGCCAACTCAGGCCTGGGCAGCATGACCATCAGGCCTGCTGCCTGCAGCCACCAGCACTCCCTCACCTGGAGGGGAGATGCAAATGGTTTCCACTTTTGTCCTTCGATTCAGAAAAAAAACTGGAAAGAATTCACCAAGTCGCCAGAAGGGGGGGGCACTTGGGAGGGGGGCATCCTCCACCAGCTCAGCCCCCAGCCTGCACTCCCCGCCACGGGCAGGGGCTTCACAGACGCATGTCCTGCCGCCTCTGGGGGTGAGGGCAAGGGTCCCCCTTTATCCAGGATGGAGTCTGCCCTGGGGTCCAGCTCAGGGGAGCGGGCATCCCCCAGACCACCGTGCGGTCAGTCAGTTGTTGGCATTCATCCTCCCGGCGGTGGCAGTGGCGTTGGCAGTGGTGGGGAAGAGCGGGGGCGGGGGCGGCAGGTGGGGCGGGGGGGGGAGGGGGGGGCGGAGGGGGGGGGGGGGGCGGGGGCGGCAGGTGGGGCGGGGGGGGGAGGGGGGGGCGGAGGGGGGGGGGGGGGCGGGGGCGGCAGGTGGGGCGGGGGCGGGAGGGTCTGGGGGAGCCCCGGGAGCAGGGGCAGTGGGTGCGCGTGAGGCGGGGTGGCGGGCAGCCCCGGGGCGGGTGAGGGCCCGTCGCTGGCCAGAGGGTGGCTGACGCGGAAACACTTCTCCTTGTGCGCCTTGAGCATGTTGGAGAAGCGGAAGCGCTGGCCGCAGACGTCGCAGGGGTACGGCTTCTCGCCCGTGTGTGTGCGCCGGTGCCGCTTCATGTTGGGCCGGCTGGTAAAGCTCTTGCCACAGATCTCGCAGATGTACGGCTTCTCCCCTGGGGGACAGGGCCACGGGGTCACCATGGGGGTGTCCACAGAGAGGGCCTCGGCCTTACCCAACCCTGGGAGACACGCTGGCACCCGGGCTTCTACAGAAAGGTAAACTGAGGCCCAGGGTGGGGAAGGGGCACAGCTGAGAGCACCCTGGGGGTCCCGGGCCGGATGGGCAGCCGCACCTGTGTGGGTCTTCATGTGCTCGTCGAAGTACTGCTTCATGTTGAAGTCCTTCCCGCACCACTGGCACATGAACTGCTTGTGGCCAATATGGATGCTCATGTGCGAACGCAGCTGGTACTTGTACTGGAAGCGCTCATTGCAGTTCTGGGGGTGCAGGGGCACAGTGAAGGGGGCGGCCCTCAGGCCCAGGTGCTCCTGGCCACGAGCAGAGGGCACCAGGCCACAGGCACATGAAGGGTCCAGGGAGGGAGAGGAAAGAGACCAGACAGCAGAGCAAGCCTCCACGCACGCCTGCAGCCCCTTAGTGCCCTGTGGTCGGAGGCTGCCCCCCAACCCCCCAACCCTCAACCCCAGCGTCCACCCTTACCTGCTCTCCCTGTCTCCCCAGAGCATGTCTTACGGCCCCACCTACCCGGAACCCCTTCTTTCCCCATGCTGGGAGGGTGGTCCACCTGCAGGGGGCTCCATCTCCCCTAGGTGTCAAGTGTTAAGCCCCAGCCCTGGACAGGTGCCAAGCTGGGTACTCACCTCACATCTGAACGGCTTCTCCCCCGAGTGCTGCAGCGAGTGCACTTTGAGTGACATGCTGCGTTTGAAGGATTTCCCGCAGGTCTCGCAGGTAAAGGGCATGTCCTTGGTGTGGGCTATGGGGTGGGCACCATGGCAGTCACTTCTCAGGGGGACCCCTGCCCAAGTACCCCCATCCCAACCTCCTGGGGGAGGCCCATGCCACCACACTCCCTTAGACCTGCTTTGTACCCACGGTGCTAGGACAGGCAATGACAGGTAATGAGCCACATCTCAGAGCCTGGACTGACTTGCCACCTCTGAGGTTGAAGTCTGGCCTGAGAAGGGGAGACTCCCTCAGGTGAGGGGGTGCTCTAAAGGCCTAAAAAGTGTCAGGGGCCCCCTTATTCTGCAGCCTCTATGGTCAAGTGAGACTCCTCACCCCCAAGGCTTAGAAATGAGATGGAAGGTTCCCAGGTGGGTCGGCTCAGGTGTGGTGGGGTCCCTCAGGTGTGGAGGGATTGGCTGAGATGTGGAGGGGTTGGCTCAGGTGTGG